CACCGCTGCTCCCGGCACGGTGTGCCAGTGGGAAATCCATTCTGTAGGAACAGATGGGGAGGGAAAGGCCTCCTCTGCTCCTTCTCCTGCTCAGTGCTGCGTGGTGGGATTCCCTGGCCCAGGGGAATGCTCCCTGCTGTTGGATAAAGGGTTTCCTTTGGAGCCACGTCACCCCTGGAGCTCCTGGTCCAATTCCAGTGGCTCCAAGGGGAGCCTGTGGTGCTGCAGGTTTGACTCTGCTTAGAGTGGGGAGGTTTTTGTGATAACTGAGTAGGCTGCACTTAAATTTTGATAGACTCAGTAGGAAATAGATCTATAAATCAACTTCTGGATGCACAATTGTACTTAAACAGCTGGCAAATGCCAGAGAAACAAACATTTCTCAGGAGATCCATCCCCTCCTGCTGATCTGCAGGATTCCAGGTTAATTCCACCATCTTTGGTGGGCACTGCTTGCTTTTCCTGTGTAATAAATGAGCCTTTTCTCCCGTCCCCAACCCTCCCAGGCAGTAACAGTCCCCATGGCAGCCCCACGTCCCCTCTGGACAGCAACATGCTGCTGGTGATCATCGTGTCCGTGGGCGTCATCACCATCGTCATCGTCGTCATCGTCGCCGTGTTCTGCACGCGCCGCACCACGTCCCACCAGAAAAAGTAACGGGGCTGGGGCTGGGCCTGCCTGCCTTACTGAGCCCTGCTGTTCAGTTCTTCATTTGGAGTTGATTCCTCCTAAATCCTGCAGCCTGTAGGGGCTGCTGCTGGTCTGCTCTTCCTGTCAGTGTCCCAGAGTTCCAAACCAGCAGTTCACACACCAATCGGGGCAGTGCTTCCAGGTGTGCCTGCACTCCCCCCTCCCCGAGGAGAAATTATTCCAAAGTGGAGCCAATCCATGTGCTGGGAGCTGGGAGAGCTCAGGCAGCTCCTCACTCCTGCGTGGGTGGGCTCAGTGCACTGACATTATCCAGTTTTCAGTAGGATCACTGCAGGGGAATCTGAATGTGATGCTCCAAAGTCCTGGTGTTTGTATCTGAATGCTTCCCTCAGAGCATCTGCATTAATGCTGCAGCAGCGATGCTCCTGCAGGGTCTGTGTGTTCTTTGAAAGACCAGAGCTGCATTTGGAGTTTGAAAAGATGCTGTTATGCAAAACAGCTTTTTAAGGGATGAAAAGCCAGGTTTGGATAATCTGCAGTTGCTCTGCTGCAGCAGGACCACCCTGCAGAGCTGCAGGAGAGGGAGCAGGGATGGAGGAGCAGGCCCTGGCACACCTGGGGCTGAGCTTGGGAGGGGCAGCAGGGATGGGCCAGTGCCAGGAGATGTGTTTCTTTTCAGGGCAGAAATAACCCTGTGAAATCTCAATTTCTGAGTGCCCTCAGCCAGGGAATAACCTGATCCCTGTCGCTCATCAGCTCAGTGGGAGCAGGATTTGGGAGTCAGCCCTGCCAGAGGCTGTGTTGGTGACATTTACCAATGTCTGAGCCATTCCCAGGAGCTCTGCTCCCAAAGGGACCCCTGCTCCAGCTTTGCCATGGCCCAAAGCGAGGAGTCAGCATGGCAGGAGTGCTGAAACCTACATCTTGCTTTCACAAAACGCTGCCATCCCAAATCTCTGCCTCCCTGTGGTTTGCTGCTGCTGCTCAGCAGGATGGGAACGTCCCCAGTGGGATATGTCCAGCCTGAGCAGGGCTGGAAGGAAGGTCCCTGTCACCAATCCTGTGTTCCCATCCTCTTGGGATGGGAATGGCTGCACCTCCTCCTCCAGCTGCTGCCGGAGCTTGCTGAGCCTGGGATATGGGCACAGCGTTGGAATATTCTCTCAATGAGCAGAATTTCTGCAAACTTAATTCTTGTTAATGAAGAGCTGCACATGGGGACAAATTCCATGGATTCAGGAGGTGCTTTGAGGTGTCAGTGGGGCTTATGTGCAAAATTCAGAGCTCCCTGCCCAGTGGGAGGGAAACTTGTGCCCAGCTGGATGCAAGACCTGAGGGAAATGCCAGGGAAAAAAAGCAATTGCCTTTTCCAAGAGTGAAGAACATCTCCTTTGCTCTCCTTCCCAGGAAACGAGCTGCCTGCAAATCCGTGAACGGCTCCCACAAGTACAAGGGCAACTCCAAAGATGTCAAACCTCCAGACCTTTGGATCCATCACGAGAGGCTGGAGCTCAAACCCATTGATAAATCCCCAGATCCCAATCCCATCATGACAGACACCCCGATCCCTCGCAACTCCCAGGACATCACCCCGGTGGACAACTCCATGGACAGCAATATCCATCAGAGGCGGAATTCCTACCGAGGTGGGAGCCCATGAGGGCTGAAGGACATTCACTGTGGCTGGTGGCATCACTTCATTGAGACATGATGAAGTTACTCTTCTCTGTTCTTATTTTCCAAGTAGTGAATTGGGTTTGTTCCCAGTTTCTGAGACTCTGAAAAGGTTGGATCACATGTTTTAGCGAGGAAATGGAGCATACAAGAGTTAGATCATTACTTTCTCTTGGTGAATACTGATTAGTAATGAGAAGATCATCTCATGTCATATTAAAGCACTGGAGTTGTTTCTGACCTTTCAGCCCAGAGCCGAATCAGTGCCAGAAGCTTGCACTGGGGCCTCGAGAGTTTCTCCATTCCCAAAAATCCTCACCCTCACCATCTTCTTCCCACCTTCCAGCAAAGGGGGAAGGGGCTGTTTTTGTCCCTGGCGGCTCCAAGAGCTGCCTGGGAGCAGGAGCAGAGGGAGGATGTGGGAATGCTGCCGTGGCTCAGGAGCAGAGCAGTAACGTGGCTCTTTCCCCTCAGGACACGAGTCAGAGGACAGCATGTCCACGCTGGCAGGAAGGAGGGGCATGAGGCCCAAGATGATGATGCCTTTTGATTCTCAGCCGCCTCAGCGTAAGTGAACACCGCCATTCCTGCTGCAGCCACTCCCTGCTCCCAGGAAATCCCTTCTGGGCAGCAGGAGCAGCTCGGAGGAGGCTCCTGAGCCCTGCTGGTGCAGGCAGAGTGAGGCCACGTTAGAAGGGCCTGGGAGTACTGGGGCGAGGGCAGGAGCACGTGCAGATCTGTCTGTCCCTGTCTGGCTCGCAGGGACAGCCCGTGGGCCTGGCTGCTTCTTGTAGCCATTCCCTTGGAGCTCTGCCAGGGTCCAGCTGCCCCACAGAGCTGCAGAGAGCTGGAATCTCTGTCAGGTTCCTCGCTGTTGGGTTTCCCCTCCCAGCCCAGGCAGTCTCCAGCCCCTTTATCTCTGCAGTCGCTGCTCTCAGAGCCTTCTCTGACTTCCCTCCGAGTTCCTCTTTGCCCTGGGATCCTTCTCTGATACCAAAATTACCATTATTATGAAATAGTTTTGGAATTAAAGAATATATCTGGAGTTTTCAAATGACTCCAAGATGGAAAGGGATTTGGCTGATCCTCTGAAGAGCCAGACTGAAACCCTGGGTGAGAACACCGTGAGAAGCTCAGGAGTTACTGTGCAGGGGCAGAACTGGGAGGTAAAATCACACCAAGCTCACCCAGGCTGAGCTTTAGACTTCCCTGGGCTCTGTGATCATGTTCCACCTGTAGCCAGGTGACTGCTGCCACAACCCCTCCATTTTATGGAATTATTTCAGAGTAGTTCATTACATTTCCACTTTCTTTTTACTTTAATTAAAAACTGAACTGAGGACTTGGTGTTCTTGATCCCTACCTACCTTTTCAAGTGTCCTGATGACCTGATTGCTCAATTTGTGACTCTTCTTGCTCTATGACCTTTTTCCAAGGGTAGCTTGTGGTTTCTTGGTTTTACACTAACTACTGTGAGCTCCTTGTTCTCTCCCAGCTCTCCATGTGTGAGCAGGGAGCAGGGGATGCAGTTTGACACTAAATTCCTTGGAGCTGGTCTGTGCCACACATGGGTGTGTGATGGGTGCCTGTCCCATGCCAGGACTGTGGGAGTGGAACATCCACTGTGGGGGCTGCAGGATGTCCTGTGGATGCTGTGGAACATCCACTGTGGGGGCTGCAGGATGTCCTGTGGATGCTGTGGAACATCCACTGTGGGGGCTGCAGGTGCCCTCCTGGCAGGAGCTCCCCAGGGAGCTCTCCCTGGCACGTGAAGCCCACCAGGGCCATTCCATGTGTCCAGCCCTGGGCCTGCAAACCTGCCATGGCTTTCTGCCACGCACTGGAGTTCAGATAACTCTGATAATAATGACTTGGAGTCATTAATTACCTCCCAAGTACTGAATTCTGGTCATTCACTGTGCCACTTTAGTCTCATTTGCAGTCATGGTGTGTACCTAGTGACTTCCCTCTTTGCCTCCTGGAGTACAGAAATTCTGGAAGGATACTGGGAAGCAGACGGCTGTTTATTGTTTAACACCTCATTTCCTCTTTATCAATATATGTAGATAACATCAGTATCAATATATGTAAATAACAGATCTGTATGCTCTTTACTCTTCTTCTGAACTTTTCCTTGGGATCAAGCAGTGCATTAGGAGCTGGTGGCAGCTTTTGGGGCTGTAGTTGGGTGATTTTTTTGTCCTAAGCACATTTGAGGTGTGATAACCCAGGGGTTGAAGCTGGGTTGTGAATCAGCCGAGGGTCTGGCTCCCTGCTGGCAAAGGGAGCAGGGAGGGGAGTCCCCAGCCTGTCCTGTGTGTGTGTGTTAAGTGTTTCTCTGTCTTGTGTTCATCCACAGCTGTGATTAGTGCTCATCCCATCCATTCCCTCGACCCCCCTCACCACCATTTCCACTCCGGCAGCCTCGCCTCTCCAACCCGCAGCTTCCTGCAGCACCAGCTCAGCCCGTGGCCCCTGGGCTCTGCCATGTCCCATTCGGACAGGGCCGACTCCACAGGTGAGAGACCGACCCTCAGGGAGGTGCTGCTCTGTGCAGCAGCCAGGGAAACCCCTGGGAATCCCAGCCTGAAGCTGGCTCAGTCTCCTCTCTAGGTTCCATGAGGATGGGCTTTCCTGGGCAGGTCAGATACTGATCCTTGGCATCCGTGGTGGTGCCCTTGGAAAAGGGGGTTTCATGTTCTACTCACAGCTCCAAACAGGGATTCCTTCTGCTAAAGCCTCTGCCCTGGAGTCTGAAACATCAGAGTAACTCTGAGCTGCTTCATGGGGTAATTTTCCCCTAATTAATACAATTTGAAACCAGCAGGGAAGGGAAGTCCAGGCTTGGCTACTGAAAATGGGGGACACACAGAGAATGGGGGTGATTTCCACGCAGCACTTTCAGGCTTGATCAGAATCATTTGCAGTAGCTTCAGAGAGCACTGAAGTCTCCAGTGCTCTGAAGAATCCCAAAGCAATGGTGCTGCTAAATGTGCACATGGGTAACCCCTGGGATGAAGTGAACTCTGAGCTTCTCTACTTGAAGGTCAACATTTGAAGGCATCACAGCCAAAAGCGTTGTTTCCTTATGAAAACAGTTCCTGAGGCTGCAAGGTCCATTCCAGCCCTAACCATTCCATGAGTCTCAGTAAATGGATTTCAAGTGTGACCACCCCAGTGCTGTGAAGAGTTCCTAGTTAAAAATGCCAATACTTTGGTATTCTGGGGCACAAGGAGATTGGTGTTCTGTGCTGTTTGAGGAGTGGATCATGGAGCTGGTTCAGTGCCGAAGTGTGAGAGGTGGAGTCACTCAGCTCTCAGCCCATTTAGCTCCCATTCAGTGGGCCAGGGTCATTCCCTGCACAGCCAGCCTGGGAGGAGGAGCTGTGTCCCTGAGGAGCCGGCTGCAGCCAGGGGTAATCCCTGGTGTGTGTGTGTGTGTTGCAGTGTCAGGGATGATCCCTGTGTTGTTGGGGTGTGTGTTGCAGTGTCAGGGATGATCCCTGCTGTCGGGTGTG